TGGGAAAGTATCCCCCATAACAGTACGTACCTGGGACCCTTTGGGCACGCTGTCGCCTGGCTTCACGCAACCTGAGTGCTGCGGACCATCGGAAAGTCGACTTTAGGGTTTAGGGTTTAGGGTTTAGGGACAATCTCAGCGAACCAGGATCCCGGTCACCTTTTGGGTAGTCAGTTCTCTGAATTAAGCTCCCTGTTACCGTCACTTGAAACCAATCCCTAAGGGTCCAAGTACCCATTATTTAAGGACTTTAGGGCCTTTTTGGGTATCTAAAACCACAAATAAGGACTACTTGGACCCTTAGGGAATAAGACATCCCTAAACCCTAAACCCTAAACCCTAAACCCTGAACCCTGAACCCTAAACCCTAAACATACATCACTCTACGAGGGATCCGCACTTTTCGAGCCCGCGCCGGTCCTGTTCCAGGTCGCTCTGGGCAGCCTGCTGGTCAAAAGGCCGAGGCGCGTTACGGCGTTTAGGGTTTAGGGTTTAGGGGTTTGGGGTTTAGGGTTTAGGGTTTAGGGTTTAGGGTTTAGGGTTTAGGGTTTAGGGGTTTGGGGTTTTGGGTTTAGGGGTTTAGGCTTTAGGGTCTATTGTAGAGTCGGGGCTGAACAAAGTTATAGCTCAACAGAAGGGTTTATGTACAGAGGTTTATGTGATTTTATGACAGGGGCCTTAGCAACCAGAACAAGGTTTTGGGATAAATTGTAGTATTATCTCTTCCTGTATACCCAAAGGGTCCTAGGTACTGTCATGGGAGATACTTTCCCAAATCATAATAAGGATCCCCATTATAGAAGCCTTACATTCTACTATTTAGGTACTTAGGACCCTTTGGGATAGAGGACTCATGGGATCCCTTCGCCTGACTTCATCTCTGCATCTCTCGTACCGACGATGCGAACACCTGCGACATGTTGGAAACAGTATTGAGAACCTGTGCTGTTGCTACAGAGACCCGATGTGCATCTTCTCAAACACAAACCCTAAACCCTAAACCCTAAATACTAAACCCCTCAACCCTAAACCCTAAACCCTTTCTGTCATTGAAGCACCCAGTGGCTAGGGCTCATGCCATGAGAAGTCACCCAGAACTCGAGACGCTCGGCCCCGCTCGGCACGTGTATGCAACAGTTGATACTTGTTTTAGGGGTCCAGGGTTTAGGGTTTAGGGTTTTAGGGTTTAGGGTTTATTCAATAGTTGATACTTGTTTTAGGGGTCCCTGTGTAGAAGTATCTCCGATTTGTTTCCCGGATGCCTCGGACTTCGTCCGTTCACCCTCCAGCTCCGCAGCGACCTGGGCGATTTTGTCCATTTGCTCCTGAAGCTCCTGGGCGAGGCGACACATGCTCTTGAGGCCGAGAGCATGACATGGGGGGGGTTTTGGTTTCAGTTTATTGCCGGCTCCGCATGCACTTGGTCGCGAAACCTTCGATACAAGACTATCCTGCTTGTCCAGTATCATGGGAAACTATTTAAACGTTAACCTTTGGGGTTATATATGGAATAATTACAGCACCCGAAAGAGGTTAAAGGTGAAAGGTTACCTACTATGCTACTAAGCCATTGCCCCACGTGCACCCACCCTTTGCCTCCCTGCACGACCCTGAAAAGAGAACCGTAGGCCCTAATATAGGGGCCTGAATAATTAGAATAGGGTTGCGGGGTCCTGTATAATATAATTGTAATAAGGAGCCGCAAACTAGTATAGGCCATTATAAAGGCCCCTATTCTAGTCTAACCAATGAGATCCCCACATTGACATTTTACAGCATTAAAAAGTATTACGTCAAAGGGCCTAAGTACGGTTACGGGGCATACTTCCCCAAATCAGAATAGGAAGTCACATGTATAGAAGCCATACATTCTACTATATAAGCACTTAGTAACTTAGGACCCTTTGGGTTACTAATACCAACAGCAGCATATAATCATGGTACATTGTGCCGGGAATTTAGAACAACTATTAGAGCAAGGTTGCCAAGCAATCTTGCAATTTTGGTCTCCAAAAGGTAAACTAATCGGGGAGCAAGTGGGGCAAGTGTGGCAAGGGGGAGGAGGGGAGCAAGATTGCCAGCAAGCTTGCAATCTTGGTCTCCAAAAGGTAAACTAGTCGGCGAGCAAGTGCGGCAAGTAGCGCAAGATGATCAATCTTGCCAAGATTGCTTGGCAGTCTTAATGTGTTTCACGGACAGCAACAATGATATCAATAGCGACAAATAAGTAGTGTAAGTACAACATAGTACTGCTAAGGCTTCACATTGATGATGATTGGGATGTTGATGAGGTGATGATGATGATGTTGTTGTTGATGCTCATAGTGATGGCGATGGCGACGATGGCGATGACAACAATATGTACAAAACCATACAACAGAACAAAACGATTATCCATGAAACCTAAACCCTCAACCCAAAACCCCAGCTTGTCAACCAACACCAAATACCTACAGTCTCCATTGTAGTTCCTTTTTTGGGTATACCTCATAAAATCCTGAATATATAATTGGTTAAACCAAAAAAAGGAACTACAATGGAGACTATAGGTACGTAACAAATTCGGCCGCCGGGAGGCGGTGCGGAGAGCAGCCTCGCTGTCTCCCGCCTAGAGGGCGCTCCGAAGCCCAGCTCCGAAGGGCGTTGGGGCTTTTGTGGGTTAGGGTTTCGGATTTTAGGGTTTAGGGTTTAGGGTTTAGGGTTTAGGGTTTGGGGCTTTTGGAGTGTTTTGTAATTAATGTAGGGGCCTTACAACTCAGAATAGGGTTTTGGGGTATATTATACTAAGAAATACAATAAGAAACCCCAAGGTAGTATAGGTAATTGTTTAGACCCCTACATCAGGGGTCGTTGGGCTTAAATGGGCGTTGATACGGTGTTCATGAGGTACGATAGGGCTTCAAAAGGGATGTAAATCAGGTTTTTTTTTCTTTTATGAGTGTCCATGTGGCCTGTTTGTATAAACGTTCCTTCGAGCGAGTGCTTTATGGTTTACCCGAAGAAGAATCATTGAGAAGGGATCCTTAATAGGTTCAAGGGTTGAGGGTGAGTCCTTGTTTAAGGGATGACAAATCCCATCTGGACCCCAACAAGTTTGTCAACAGAAGCCGTTTAAAGGAGTTGGGCCAATATGTTAACTACTTTCGGGTTTGGGTTCTCACCTTTATCACACTTGTAGTCCCCGAGAGCCTTCGCTGCGAGCTGCTGGCGATCTGCGGCTGTGCGTTCTCGGAACTCCTCGAAACACAAGGGTGCTTTTCTGGTTACTTTACGGGTTCCAGACGGGATGCATAGAGTTTGACAGGGCGGCTTGAATAAGGACTGTTCTACTGGTTGAAAATGGGTCTACACATATCGCGCAGTGTGTTTATGCAAAAAGCGTAGAGCTTGGAGCGGTAGCTAGGGCTTCTGGGCTTCTGAGTCTCTGTTGCTGTGCTTGACCGGAAAGCTGAGACAGACTTCAACGCGGGCCTCCAATTCGCTCTTGAGCTGATGCGTATTCTGTGTAGCATCGTTTGCTGCCGCCTGCGCAGGTATGTTTCGGACTAGCAGGTCTTGTGGGTGGAGAGTTTGGGGTCACAGGGCTTTGTCGATTTGGGGTTTACCTATAGTCTCCATTGTAGTTCCTTTTTGTTGGTTTAACCAAAAAACTGTTTAGGATTTTAGAAGGTATCCCCAAAAAGGAACTACAATGGAGACTGGAGACTATAGGTATCATGGGTTTAGTGCTTCAGGTGTGTAGGGTTTGTGTTCAGGGGTTTGAGAGCAGCACGGAATCCTAAACCTTACCTTCAACACCACGACCACGCCACGCTCTGTGATTCCTGATAACGCCCCTGAACCCTAAGCCTTACCTAGAGTCTCCGTTGTGGTTACCTTATAAAATCCTTAACATAGAATTGGTACGTTAAACCAAAAAAAGGAACTACAATGGAGACTATAGGTAATCCCTAAACCCTGACAGTTGTCAGGCGGAGATCCGAGTAGGCAAACCAGCACTGGAACGTTCAGGGTTGGACGCTGTGTCGATATAGCGCGCGCACTGGCTGGCCCGACCACAAACACGTATAAGCACAAACACACACACACACACACGCACACACACGTATGTATGTATGTATATATATATATATATATGTACATGTACTTTCAAATACATACATACATACATACATACATACATACATACATACATACCTACAAACATACACGTATATGCATGTGTACATATACATATATATATATATATATATATGCATGTGTATATATATATATATACACACACACCTAGACACCCACACACGTAACGTTACGGATTGCTGAATTCCTAGTTCGAATTCTCCAAGCTTCGGGGGCGACGGTGTACTTGTACCCTCAAGAAGCTGCGGAGCCACCGAACAAGAATTGTAGGAAACTCATGATCCTCATGTCCTCAGAACACTTGCCATCATTTTTCGTCAGCTTCCAACCCTTGGGGTCTAGGGGGGTAGGATCTTAGGGTTTAGGGTGTAGGATGTAGGATCTTGGGGTCTTAGGCTTCGGGGCTGAAGGGTTCAGAGCTACGGTAAGCCGACAGTTTAGGGTTTAGGGTTTTGGGTCCCGATGACCTCTTTTTGAACCTCACCACTCATCCTGTATGGGTTCCTACAACAGTGCCATTCAGGGTTCTTTCAACAAGATCCACACGCTCAACTCTGGACTACGTTAAATCTTCAAATCATGACCCTCATAAACCCAAAACTCATAGTCCCTAAACCCCCCCAAAAAAGGTTTTAGGGACTTTGAGTGTTGGGTTTATGAGGGTGGCCCTATAAACCCTTATCCTTTTAGGGTCCACGGTGTAGCTTTCGGCCCCAAATTCCTGAAGAAACGAGCTGACCTCCAACTTGGAGCGCAGAGTCTCGGCGTCTGCCTTCTCTTTTGCCAGCTGTGCTTCCACCTGACCGGTTCTAGGCCCGCGTCTGAAGGAGTCGTAGTTGTATTCCTCTGTATAGTCCCTGTATACTCCTACCTAAACCCTAAACCCTATATTCTACCCTAAACCCTAAACCCTAAACCCTATATTCTACCCTAAACCCTAAACCCTAAACCCTTTCTTTTTTTAACATACACCAAAATCACCAGAATCTGTTGAAACTATGAAGGCCCTCTGGGTTTAGGGCCGTTTAGGGCTCGTGATCGTAGGAGACACAGAGCGAAGAACGAAGCTTGATCTGAGGGTTCAGGCTGCACACGGGCATCTATAGGGTTGAGGACTTCCGGGAGTGGAGGGCTTAGGGTTTAGGGTTTAGGGTTTAGGGCTTAGGGTTTAGGGTTTAGGGTTTAGGGTTTAGGGTTCAGGGTTTAGGGTTCAGGGTTTAGGACAAGGGCACACTGCATATGTTGCAAAAGCTCGGCTGTCCTTGCAAGACTCATGATTTCCTGCGCGGTGATGCATTTTAGCCCAGAGGAACCTCATGTAGGTCCTAGCAGGCTCGTGGCGCGGCCGACAAGCAAGACGGAGGTCATGATGCTCATCTTATCAAGTCTTGTACCGTCGGATACTTCGCTAAGGCAAGGCTCAGTGTTTGGATCTTGAAATCACTCAAGCCCTCTATCCATGTTATCTGCCTTGCCAATTACACAACCCAGGCAAGCCCTTAAAGCCCTGAACCCTCAACCTTAAACCCCAAACCCTAAACCTTTAACCCAAAACCCTATAAAGCCTAGACCCTGCAAAGCCCCAAGCCGCCAGCGGCACTAGCTTGTGGAACGCTCCTCAAACTATACTCAGAATCTCTGTATATCTATCTATCGATCGGCATATACATATATATACACACACAATGTTCTATAGTTCAGTAAACCCTAGGAGTACAGTACTTACACCATGACGGCCGAAATCATTATTTTCGTAGATTTTGTCTTACTAGCTATCAAGAAGGCCCGAGAGGCTTGCGTGGTCTCGCCTTGAACGCTGAAACCCAAGCCGCAAAGGAAATCTTGCGGTATGAAGCAAAGGCCCAAAGTTGCTGGAAACCCCTACATCCCTAAACCCTGGCGAACCCTAAACCCTAAACCCTAGACCCAAAATCCTAAACAGACTAAACAGGGTTTAAACCCTACAGCCCAACGGTAGACTCCTAAATGGCTTCGCGACGCGGTTACAACTCCACAAACCGCTGTGAAAGCAATAAAGAGACAACGGCGCACATATAATAGAGGGGCCATAAATACTTAGCATAGGGCTGTGGAGTACATCATGCTATGTCTATAGTAAGGAGCCCTCCCCCAAAACAGTATTAAACGGATATTATTAAGGCCCCCTCTATTACGAGAGGAGTCCCACGAAGCTCCCTTACCGGTCCGGGACACATCGGACAGCTGTGCGCGGCTGCTGTTCACTTCAGTCTCGAGCGCCTCCTTGGACGCCTGGGCCTGATTGATTTAGGGTTTAGGGTTTAGGGTTTAGGGGGCTTAAGGGCCTAAAGGTTTAAGGGTTTAGGGTTTAAGGGTTAGGGTTTAGGGGTTTAGGGTTTAAGGGTTTAGGGTTTAGGGTTTAGGGGGCTTAAGGGCCTAACGGTTTTAGGGTTTAGGGTTTTAGGGTTTAGTGTTTAGGGGGCTTAAGGGCCTGAAGGTTGAAGGGTTTTAGGGTTTAAGGGTTTTAGGGCTTAAGGGTTTAAGGGTTTAGGGGTTTAAGGGTTTCAGGGTTAAGGGTTAAGGGTTTAAGGGGTTAGGGTTCTCAGTTCGTGTGCGCCGGGAGTAGCCTCGAAGCTACTATCTATAGAAGCCTA